CTGGTCAACAGTCCTGAATCACATGATGAGGTCATTACCAGCCTCTGGAGAACTTCAACACATGTTGAGGAGGTCATGTAAATCAGGTGGACATGTCTAAACCTGCAGCTCCCCCACCCTGGTCTATAGAGATGCTAATATTTGAAATTGTTCAATAACAATAAGCCTCCTTTAATTCTATTGACTACACCAAGAAGATCCACTCGGCCTGATGTTATTACATTACTGTGAGTACTACTGAGTCAGTTTATCACTTTATGACTCCAGTTATACCCGTGGGATGTTGTTGAACAGTCTGCTGCTGTTAGCATGCTGTAACTGTAGGAGGCTGTTTTGAAGCTACCTTTGCTACATGTAACCAAATTCATGCATGCAATGTCACAGATTTGTTTCAATAGTAACATTTTAAATGTACAGAGAGCAATAATACAGGCATTTCTGCAGATTACTCCGATGTGTAAAGCACCTCTGTAATGGCCTGGATGGAAGCTCCATATTTAACCAGCAGCTCCATCACCTTCACGCGGTTCTTCTTACAGGCGATGTGCAGCGGCGTGAAGCCGTTCTGTGGAGCAAACATAGTGAACCGTGACCTCCAGGTGCATGTAGACAGATTAAGATCCTTTTCCCATTCATGGATCCATGTTTTCTTCGTGACCTACCAGTGCCCTGGCGTTAGGGTTGGCCCGTTTGTCCAGCAGCAGTTTGGTGACTCTGTAGTGACCGCAGTGAGCCGCCACGTGCAGCGCTGTCAGGTAGTCCAGTGTGACGTCATCAACAGGAGCCTTGTGCTGTAGAAGGTGTTTGACGCATTCAATGTGGTCACCTTGTGCTGCCATGTGCAGAGGGGACAGCCCGTTCTGTGGGAGGGGACAGTTGTTCAGCAGAGAGCTGCAGGTGAGATGCATTATTGGTTTGCTGGTAAATAAACAGCTGCAGCGTGTCTTTTTATCTCTGATGGATAACAGCAGCTTCACTCACTGCTGTTTCCGTAACAAACTCAGATCTGCAGATCTACTGTTGAGTATTTGACAGAGAATCTGTTGAACATGCTCATCATGTTTTATACAGAATAATCCCTCAAACTCATCATGTTATATGCAGAAAGTGCCAAACCCTACAGCACGTGGGCGTGTTTATCCTTTGACCTCTCCTTCCTCCCACCTCGCAGACAAAGCTCCTGCTGGTCACCAGCAGACGAGGCCCTTAGCTTCACAGTGACATGTTACAGGACACAACCATGATTTAGATGGTGAATGTGAGACCTTGGTCCTGGCCAGTAAAGGCGCTCCTCTCTCCAGCAGCAGCTCCACAGCTGTATCGTGTCCGCTCCGAGCAGCACAGTGAAGCGGAGTCAGGCCGTCCTACGAAACCAAGACAGTGAACAGATATCAGAACATTCAAACTAAGGATCTATTCATTTTACATTTTGAGTCATGTATGAACACAGGCTACAAAGGAAGCAAAAACACAGATAAAAACAAGTCAAGCAGATGTTTTTCTTTAAGGACACACGGGGCGACTGATGGGCAACAACAGTAACAGATTAGTTTCAGTGCTTATCATATATATCATCAAATCATTTAGATAATACAGAGATATCTCTGATGTGAGGGACGATGTCAGGATCCATTACCCCTGAGCTATTAGTGTAACATCATTACATTAATGTACAACAAGTCAAAAACTGAAGTGGACTAACACAGTGGTAACATTTTCTCTGATAAATGGCATCACATTACTAAAATAAAGTCCTCAGTTCCATCATTTTATTGGTTTAAATATCTGTACTGGAGTAAATACACAATTTAAAGCATTAAGAATATCATAAAACTTTTATTTGCACTTTACAGAGCAGCAGTTTATTAAATAACCGATCATCCAGTGATGAGTGGCAGACCTACAGGTAGAATGGACTAAAAACAACCCCCCACCATATCTGTTGTTAGAAATGCACGCGACCATTAGCTGCTACTGTGGATGTGACAGTTGCACCACTGTGGGAGTGGGCGAGTGTGGTTTAAAGATAACTAGCTCCAAAGCTCAGGTTACATTAGATGTGTGCGTTTGAGCTACTCACCCTGGTTTTAGCATCAATCTGAGAGCCACGGTCTAACAACAGGCGAACCATGTTTGTGTTGCCACGCTTAGAGGCCACGTGCAGTGGAGTGATCCCATTCTGCAAAGACGCACAAAAACAACAACTCGTTAAACACGTCGGCTCAGAATCCAAATATTGGTATATGTGGAACCAAAAAACTCAGTGTTCTGGTCAGTTATACGTGTGGAAACAGAACCAACACAACACTGAGCTCAGTCAGTCGTGGTCGTCATCACTGACTGAGCTCTGTTGTGGTTGTAGAGTTACCCACTGACATGTTTTCATCCTGTCCACTGAAGCTGGAGCTTCAGCTTAATCTAATTACCCTTTTTGCAATAGTAATCCCTTACTTTACTCGTTACCTAAAAAAAAAAGTAATCCGATTACTTTTATAAAAAGTAATCCGATTACTTTTTACTTTAATAATTACCCTTTTTGCAATAGTAATCCCCTACTTTACTCGTTACCTGAAAAAAGTAATCTGATTACTTTTTACTTTAATAATTACCCTTTTTGCAATAGTAATCCCTTACTTTACTTGTTACTTGAAAAAAAGTAATCGGATTACAGTAACGCTTACAGTCTCCAGCTTACAGTCACACAGTTCAGACCCAAATAACTTATCCGGCTTGTTTCGTACCCTCGCTGTGAAGTCAACCGCTGCCCCTCGGTTCAGCAGGAGCGTGGCCACATTCACGTTCCCATAGTGGGCAGCGATGTGCAGGGGGGTGAATCCACTCTGCAGGACAGAAAGATGCAGACACACAGCAGGACAGAGCACACACATTAGCTTCACCGTCAACTTTGACCTTTAGTCTTCCCAGCATGCAAAAGTTGCACCAAGAGTAAAAGAAGTAAATTAAAATCAAGGACGATGAAAATCGGACTTAAAAATAATCATTGGTACTAATATGAAAGTCAGAGCATCTACACACAACCCCAAACACACACACGTCCATGCAAACTGTGTAAAGACCAACAAATGCTTTTAACACGAGTGAAATGAAAACAGATCAGAAATCAGCACAGAGCAGACGTCATCCAGACACACACAGACAACACAGACGGTCAGTAACCCACACAGGTCCCCATCAACACCAAAGTGCACTATGTTAACTGTTGTTAGCAAACAGGATTTCAGAGTAGGGTGGAGGAGTTCTTGCCTTACCTTTCCATTCTGTTAGTGTTGGTCCGATTTAATGTGAAAAAGGTGTTTACAGAAGCGTGAAGAATACAGTGACTAACGAGATGGTTCAAAAGTTACAGTCAGAAGCTTAGCTGCAAAGTAAGGAAGCATGGATGCAACATGCTGTCTGTGCTAACATATTAGCTTTGTACAGTTATATTATGAGCTTCACAAGCTTCCCATGCTGAGCTGCACCGTTTACAGATTAGTTTGCTTCTTTAAAGAAACGCATGCACTCTAAAAGAAATGTTATAGAAGCTGCAAAGTGTGGAAGACCATGGGTGGAAGAAACACAGTGAATGTTTGCCTTTGCTCCTCGTGTGTTCAATAAGAGGAAGAACAGTTAAATGTTGTTTTTTATTTGTTTATTTGTTCCTCCTTCTGCAAACGGCATTTTAAAGCCCAACGTGACATTTATCCTAACATAAGTGTCTGAATCTTTCTCGGGTTTCTGATGTGACACAGTTTGTTCTTGTG